GGCGCGGCCCGGCGCCGGGGCTGGGGGCGCGGCCCGGCCGCGGGAGCCGCCCGTTGCTACGCGGTGGCGACCGGCCCGGCGGCCCGGGCCCGGCGGCCGCATTATCCGGGTAATGCGGTGTGACACCGAGCGAACAAAGGCGGATTGAGCGGCGCAGCGGGCCCCGCCGGACGGGGACCGGCACAGCGGGGCCCGGCAGCGCCGCTCCCAGGCTTTAATCCCCGCCCCACCCCCGCCGCCCCCGCGGGCCCCGGCGCTGGGAACCGAGCGCGGCGGGGCCTGGCTCGCCGGAAGCCAGGGGCGGCCTCCCTGGGGCGCGCTGATGGCCACGGGCGCGCGGGCCCCACCCCGGCTGCTGCGCCGGCTCCGCGCTCCCCGCCGGGCTGCGGAGAAAGTGGGGCGCGCCCCTGCTGGACGGGTGGCGCACGAGGGCGTCGCGCCCGCGGAGGCTGCTGTGGCCGTGGGGACCTCGTACCCGGCGTGCTCAGCCCTGGAGGGGGGACCCGGGTCCGACCACCTGTGCAGTTCGGCGTGGCTCGCTCTGGGGTCCTGGCCACTGGCCTCTCAGTCCCCTGTCTATAGAATAGGGTTTGCAGTATTGTAGGGAACAATCTAGCACCCAAAAGGACAGATCTGTGCGCTCAGAGAGTGGCTCCCGTTAGAACAAGGCTGGGGACAGGCCCTGAGAATCTCCTTTTCTCCGGACCATGGGGCCAGAGGCAGAGAAACAGCCCCGTGTCTCAGCCCTCGTGGGAGGACAGGGGATGAGCGGCCACGGCTGGAGACGCTGCCCCATTTTACGGAGTGTGATGTGAGGCTCAGGTGACAGATGTGCGTACGGGGAAAGCGGAATGGCTGGATTGGTAGGTTTAGGCTGCAAATTCCTGTCTCCAGAATGGAGGGCTCAGAACTGGGGGTGGCGAGCTTTGTGACCGTGCAAGGTTGGAGAGCCAGAGCCAGGACAGGGCGTGGCCACCTTAGGTCTTCCGTGAGCACTCCGGTCCCATCACGGACCCCTCCGTCTTAGAAGCACCGCAGCCCTGCTCTCAGTTTACCCATCCGTAAAGTGAGACTATCAGCCAGTGTCTGGAGGGCTCCTGGCTCTCCCCTCCGCGGCTGGTGAGCCTCCGAGCGCGTCTCCAGCCCCCAGCGGAAAGGCTGGGGACCCCAGGCTCCAGCCTGAGCATCCTTCTCCCGACATCCTCCTGCAGCCACCCGCGAATCGGCCTTCGTGCATGCCATCGCCTCAGCCGGTGTAGCCTTCGCCGTCACGCGCTCCTGCGCCGAGGGCACCTCCACCATCTGCGGCTGTGACTCGCATCACAAGGGGCCGCCGGGAGAGGGCTGGAAGTGGGGGGGCTGCAGCGAGGACGCCGACTTCGGGGTGCTGGTGTCCCGGGAGTTTGCAGACGCGCGGGAGAACAGGCCGGATGCCCGCTCAGCTATGAACAAGCACAACAACGAAGCAGGCCGCACGGTGAGACAGCTACCCACAACCCTGGGGGGAGTTGGCACCTGGGACCCCTGCCCCCGAGGGGCCATCCACACCCAGGAACACCCCCTGGCCACCCTCCTTCCTTGCCTCCAGTTGGCCCCGAGTACATTGGTGTATACATGTCGTGTGTGTGTGTGTGTGTGTGTGTGTGTGTGTGTGTGTGTGTGTGTGTGGACAACTTCTAGGAGTCAGTCGGTGGGGACCATGTAAGTTTTGGTGCCAAATTAAAATCATCCTGCTTGATTCCTGGTTCTTTAGAGAAATCTGCTAGGGAACAGCCACCTGCAGACTGTACTGTCCTGGTTGGCAGGCTTTATCTGTGTAGGTCTGTGGTGTGTGTGTGTGTGTGTGTTGGTTGGTTTCTGTAGCCCTTCCTGTGGTTTTGGAACCTTGAGCCGATCACTTAGCTCTCAGCCTCAGTGTCCCCATCTGTTAAATGGGGAGAATAGCCCCTAGTTTGCTCCACTTGTGTGGATGAGGTGAGCATGAGGCCTGCCCGGGCATGGGGGTGGGACTAGGGGCGTGGTGTGGTACAGAGGGGCGGGTGCCCCAGTGGGTCAGCCTGGGCTAGCTGCTGCTCCTCTTCCCTAGACCATCCTTGACCACATGCACCTGAAATGCAAATGCCATGGGCTGTCAGGCAGCTGCGAGGTGAAGACCTGCTGGTGGGCCCAGCCCGACTTCCGAGCCATTGGCGATTTCCTCAAGGACAAGTACGACAGCGCCTCAGAGATGGTGGTGGAGAAGCACCGGGAGTCCAGAGGCTGGGTGGAGACCCTGCGGGCCAAGTACGCGCTCTTCAAGCCGCCCACCGAGAGGGACCTGGTCTACTACGAGAACTCCCCCAACTTTTGTGAGCCCAACCCAGAGACGGGCTCCTTTGGCACCAGGGACCGGACTTGCAACGTCACCTCCCACGGCATCGACGGCTGCGACCTGCTGTGCTGTGGCCGGGGCCACAACACGAGGACGGAGAAGCGGAAGGAGAAATGCCATTGTGTCTTCCACTGGTGCTGCTACGTCAGCTGCCAGGAGTGCATCCGTATCTATGACGTGCACACGTGCAAGTAGGGAGCCAGGTAGGGTGCCGGGCGGGGCCCGGGGCTGCCCTCTCCTCTCCCCCCTTCTCCCCTGCCAGGCCTGCCCTCCTGTTTCTCAGCTTCTCAGGACAGACTAGTTCCCAAAGCCTGAGCAGGAAACCAGGCTTCCCATGCTCCCACGGGAATGGTCTTGGACAGCGGCTTGGCAGATTTACACGAGGCTCAGATAATCACCCAGGGTGTGCACGTAAGCCGCAAAGCAATTGATTAAAATCCTTACGCAAATTAGCAAATGATGAGCCAGGCCAGATTTGTTCGTGGCCGCTGGCTGTCATTACTGAGCATCTGTGCATCCAGGAGAGAGATTTAAGGTCTGGCCCCAGCGGCGCCCCTAAGTTTTGTAACTCAGGGCCTCAGTTTCCTTACTGTTGGCCGAGGAGAGGTTCAGATGCCAGAAACAGGGCATGGGTATGGTGTTGCTGGCCTTTACTCCCAGCACTCGGGAGGCAGAGGCAGATGGGTCTCTGTAAGTTCCAGGCCAGTCCGGGCTACATAGAGAATACCAGGCCTGTCAGGGCTACATGGTGAGACCCTGTCTTTAAAAAAAAAGAAAAAGAAGAGACTGAAACAGTAGACTGAAAAGTCTCTCTTACCCGGAGGCAGAGTCATTTCACTTTAACCGTGAACTGAGAGGGCAAGCTTTGACCTAGCGCAAATCCTCCAGAGCTTGGGGAGGTGGGTGGAGAGGCCAAGATCTGAAGCCTGGGTGGAGTGGAGCATTCTCACCAAGTTTATGGAGGGAGATGGGAAGGAGGAGGGAGTCCCAATTCAGAGTGACTGTGGTGAGTAATCACGGGATGAAAGGCTGGCAGGTTATGCTTCCAAGCTTCCCAGAGGTGGCCTGCGTGGGAGGACCCCAGGGAAGGTCAGTCTGGAAGCAGAGTGAGCCGAGAGTCTGGCATGGGCCAGCATGACCCTTCTCTCTGTCCTCTTCCCCTGAGAAGGCTCTGCTGCTGCCAGTAGGTCTGATTCTCAGCCAGCTTCTCCCATTTGTCGAAAACTCCTGGCTTCGGCGTGCCGCCTTCCCCGAGCTGCCATAAGGGACATGGAAAAGTATACAGGGGACCACGCTTGATTAATAGAAAAGCAGCTGCCGGCCACTTTACAGCTGGCCAGTGCTGTGTGTTCCACCCCGGCACCTTGGAGCTGGTGGCTCATAACACCCTTCTCAGCCCATCTGAGAAGTAGCTTGGCCGATTCACATGCCCACTGCTGAACCTTAAAGTCCTGGCTTCCTCACCAAGGCAGGGATGGGACTGCAAGGCAGAAGGGGACCTTGCTGAGTTTTTATAAGGCTCAAGTTAGGAGGGTGTGTATGTGTGTCTGTGCCCCCTGAAGATAGCTCCAAACAGAAGTGTCAGAGATGCTGCCTGAGCATTGGCACGGGGTTGCTGCAAAGGAGCTGTATCTCCTTGGTGTTCTCTGATACCCACCTTCTCTGATTCCCACCATGGCAAGAAGTAGTCCCGCACCCCAATATCAGATGGCACACAGCTCTGGCCATTTTGGGGAGCTGTTGGTGTGCTCTCCAGCTCGGCAGGCAGGAGGGCCATTTGCCTAGCCCACCCATCTCACTGACGGCCAGACTGAGTTAGTGGCCTACACAGACCCAGCTGTCTGCCTCCAAAAGCCCCCTTTGTAGGCTTGCTGAGGTCCCGGTGTTGGCAGCCCAAGCCTCAGGCTGGACCCACAGGGCAGTCTAAGTCCCCGATAGAGACCCTGTGACTCTGTCCTTGCCCTGTGGGCAGCTGAGGTCCTCCAGGCAGGGAAGGAGGTGCTGCGTTGGCCTTCAATGTCCAGAAAATTGCTTCACTTCGACCCTCTCACTAAAACTAATTCCCTAAGAATCATCGGGTGTAGCTAGGTAGTAGGGCACTTGTCAAACCCTGGGCTCAATCTCCAGTCCTGGGGAGGGGGTGGGGGAAGCAGCCTGTTTTCTCCACATTTCTACAGTAGACACTTGATGTATCATGCAAACATGTCGTTAAGATGCTATGCCCACATAGCCTGGACCCCTTCATGTAGGCTCCACATGCTTCCTGATAAGAAGGGAGATTCTCTCCCCTCCCCCGCCCACCCCCCGTGTGATGTTTTTGCCTCTCTGAGCCCTGGTTTATGGTCTGTGCCCTGCAAGGCTGCCTGGGAGCCAGACACAGTTATGAAGAGCCTGGCCTGGGGACCAGTGCTCCCAGAGAGGCAGCTGCCCAGCAGGGCTGATGAGAGTCATTTTTTTCTAGCTTTCAAGCTTCTTGCAGCCAGAGGCCAGCAGGTTCCTTCCCATTCTCTCACCCCTAAAAATGCTGCTAATGATGGAACCAACAAGACCAGTGGGCAGGGGGACGGCAGGCAGAGAAGAAGCTCAGAGCAGAGCAGGCCACGTGCCCTTCATAGGCCCAAGGAAAGCTCAGCACGGTGGCGTCATCCTCATCCTTCCCAAGTGGGGAAGACAACTGCTCCATTGCATGAGTTTCGTCCACCGACTCCAGTTAGCTGCTGGCTTGTTACCCAAGTGCTGGGACTTCCCAAGCGTCTGATTTAATCCTTTTATCCCTGTGTTGGAAAGGCTATGGACCCAGTCACCTCATCATGTAACTGGCCTCGCATCCTGGGTCTGTCACTAGGCTTTTGTGGGACCTTGGGCAGATCCAGGTCATCTTGCTTTGCCTGGTTCAGCTCTGCGCAGCCCCACAGCTGAGGGTCGGCTGGGGGTGCCTGGGAGATGGCTCAGTACCTCAAATCCCACAGGATAGGGCTGTAGAGAGGAGTGAACGTCCTCAGGAGGGTGTCCTGGGAAGAGATTCGTCATAACTGGTTAAGCGGATTCCTTTTCTTTTGGACAAGTCACAGGAGGCTGGCAGTGCCTGGGCAGAAACACAAGAGCATGTGTGCGATGGCACTAGCCCTGCTGGGGACTGACTGGTGGCTCAGACTGTCCATGAGACAGTGCTGCTGTAGCAGAGGGCTTCCTCAGCTAGGAGGTTTGATTTGTGGACGCAGGCTCCGCTGTTCCTGCAGGTGGCCTGCCTCCCACAGGCGGCGGGCTCTCAAGTTTGGAGGGAGCAGGCCTAGCAGTTTCGGGTCTGTGAGTTCGCGCCCAGGGGCTGATGTTGCCAGCCGTTACAGGTTTCTGATTCTTCCTGTTTATTTCCCAAAGGGCACTGGGAAAGGATCTAGATCTGGGCCAGCCTTCGGCACTGGCCAGCAAGGAGCGTGGACTGTTGCCAGCTGCATGCGATAAACGACCCGGACCAGCCGGCTTCGGAGGGGAGGCTTCTCCTTTCTCAGCTAACGTCTCTCACCCTGCTCTGGATGGTGTGGCTTTACAGAGGGGCTTCCCTGGTGGTTTTCCAGGGTCTGCTGGGGACAGACCCGAGGCTTACCTTTGCACATGTTAAAGAAAATAAAAATGAAAAAAAAAAAATCTACTGCAACAGAACAGGCTGGGCTAATGCAAGCTCTTGGCCTGGTGGGAAGGACAAGGGTGGGGCAAGAGTCTGTGTCCAGGCTGCCTACTCGTGACGTTCCAAGATGCCTCTGAGGTGGGAATTGTGAAATAGGTCAGAACCCCGCAGTCCCCTTTTGTCCATCAGCTCCCATTCAAATTGGACACACTTTCCCATTGTGAGAAAAGCCATAGGTGTAGCTGGGATATAGTAGCGGAGGGCCTGTGCCATTGTTGGGGCAGGATCTTGAATTTTGAAGAGCCGAGAGTTCCGGGCGGCTGGGAAGCCATTTGAAGAACAGCTGAGTTCCTCCTGGGCTCTTTTTTTTTTTTTTCCCCTATCGCCCTGCCCTGCACTAGAGAGATAGTCGGATCTCGACATCGGTTTCTGCCATTCTGCAGCTTCCGCCTTTGCTGCAAATCTTTTTCATGGTGGATCTTGTAAATAGGTTAGCGGTGGAGGCAAGTCTCCCCCGTCTCCATCCACCACCTGCAGAAAGAAGGGACTGTTGTGCTAGTCTCGGCCTTGCCCACCAGCAGACGCCAGGGAGAGTGGCCGGGTACCTTCGTGTTACCCAGACAGCGCCAGCAACAGAGCTGTCTACGTGGCTGGCAGGTGGGGAGGGCAGAGAGTCCCGCTCCCCTTGTGCGGGGAGGGCAGGCCATCCTGCATCCTTTTCTCCTGCTGGCTGGGCTAACCCAAAAGAGAAAAGATCCTTAACACAGCCCTTCCCCCTCCTGTGAGCGAGACAGCCTAGCTCAGTTCCCAAGGATCTGGATTAGATGCCCAAAGGAGTCCAGCAGGTGAACGAAGCAGCTCCCAGCTCAGTCCTCGAAGCACAATGGCCCTGGCTAGGGTGACAGTAAGATGGGTGTGGCAGCATGGATCGATCCATCCGCTCTGTCTTAAGGAAAATCAGATAGAGGAGATGCAACAGGGGAATGGAGCAGAACAAAGATCTGTCCTTCCCTCTTCTGTCTGGGGTCTGCTAAACTCAGACTTGACACTTGAGTCAGCCCCTTGACTATCCTGTTGTGCAGTTGGCTTGCCAAGCAGGCCCAAGTAGGCCCTTGCGTGTGCACTCTCCACCCTGCCAGCATGAGCTCTGCTCGGGGTTCACCTCACACCCCTTCTCCTAGCATCCCCAATGCCCCTTCCCATCTCTCCTCCGGAAGTCGGAAATCAAGTCAACTGGATAACAATGCTCGCTTTCGTGAGGACACTTCAGCAGATCGGATACCACAATCCACAAGTCTTCTCATATCCATGTATTCTATATTAAAAGTGATAAAGTCATGTTTCTGGGGCGTATTCAAGTAGCTGACAAGTAATTATTTAATAATAGTACATGAGTGCATTGTAATTATCCTCGCCATAGTCAGGTGATAGTATCCAACGGGAATTTCCTACCAACCTGCTGTATCCAAAGTTTTGTAAAAAGTTGTAGAAGTTGTTGATCTTTTTGATTTTATATTCAAAAAGTCTCTTTTTATAAATATTATTTATTATACAATGTATATACCTTTGAGTTAACTAAGATTATATATTATATAAATATATATATATTTGGAGAAAATCTATTTCATCATGCAGTCTTTTTCTGTTAAATCATTAAAGAGAAGGTAAACTTCAAACGGACACTGTACAATGTGTGGAGTCTCCAGATTCATCCTTAGGTCACGGGTAACTGCACGTTGTGGCCTCAGCTGATTAAATGGCCAGAATCTGGCCATTTCCTCTGCTCTCTAAGTAAGATGAGATGTCATGGGCAGCAGGTGTGACGTGAGACTAAGTCAATATCAAACAAGGAATTTCCAATTTGGGGAAGAACGAACCTGGTCAGCAGTTCATGCACAGACTTGAACGTTTTCAACATGCATGTTGATGTCTCAGACATTTCTAAAAGAGCCAGCCATGGTCTTACTTCCCTCCTCACCCCACATTCCCAACTCCGTTTGTTGGGGAACGAGAAATTGCTCTATTGAAAACAAAGCTGGACCAGAAATGGCTGCTCCCCTGCCAGCTTTGGACAACAGCTGAACTGTGGAAGACATAGGTAGGTTGCCAAGATGCTGTTCTGCCCACACTCTGGGCCAATTGACATTGGAGTTGTAGGTTGGTTTGGACAGAACTTGCTGGGCCATGCACTGGGAAGGGTCCTCTTTCCTTGGGCTGGAGTTTCTTAAGGCTCACCTGAGGACCTCATCCCATCATCCCGATGCTATGCTGTAACTCAGTTTTATGATGATACATGGGCCTTCAGCTCTCAGGCCTACAAAGGAACCCCCCCCCCCCCCAGTGTTTCTAGCGTAATGTTTCGGAGGATGGCTAAAGGGTTCTTTCTTTCTTTATTCATTTAAATTTAGAAGATTACCAAATATTTACATGATCCCTATTCACACTTACCAAGGCCATGTGTATCCTATGACCATCTATATTCTCTTTTTTTTTCTTTAGAGCACTTTATTTGTTTTTTGTTTTTTTTTCTTTAGAAGAATAAGAAACTATATTCTCTTAAAGAGAAGACAGTTCATAGTTGTGCTTGAACGTAAGTTAGAAACACAAGAGGAAGTTTTAGCGTATGCTTGGTGTGAGCCTTTCATTTCAGCACCTGGGAGGCAGAGACAGGCCGATCTCTCAGTTCTAAGCCAGCCAGTGCTACACAGTGAGACTTAGTGAGTTTTTAGGGAAAAAAAAGAAATTTTAAAAATAACTTGAGAGAAGAAAAAGAAACAACATGGTGAGGTTTTATTCAAAGCAACATTACTTTGAAGACAGGCTGTGAGTTCATGAACAAGGTGCAAATATAAGAAAAGGAGCTGAGGAGAAAGAAAGCCAGGGAAAGCAAGGCAAAGGAAGGGAGTTTGCTCTGGGTGGACTGGCAGCCCTCCCGTGTGTTGCCGGGCCTAAGTGCATGCAGCATGAGGATGTGAGCTCAGCGAAAACCATACCTGGCTTAACAACCCAGGGAGGCAAACAACACTACTGTTGCCACTAATTAATCCCCAAATAGTCGCCATCTGTCATGGAGACTGTGTGCTGGAGAGTCGCATCTACACGTCATTGGAACTTTGTATTTGGATATAGTCTCACTCTGTAGTGCCAGCTGTCCTGGAACCATGACCAGGCTTGCCTTGAACTTGTGCTGATCCTCCTGCCTCTGCCCCTCGGTTGCTGGGACTATAGATGCACCACCACAGCCCATCTTCCTTGCAATCCCCGTCTTCCCCTGCTTGGGACTCCTGTAGATCACAGGTGTTGTCTGGATGACATGGCGTCACACCCTCCCACCTCCTGGGTTGTCCCCGAGACTCAGCCTCAGCAGCTGCCAGTAGATGGGTGGCTTTCATTCTGCACTATCTTCTAGAACTTAAACACTTTTTTTTTTTTTTTTTGAACTCTTAACAGACCTTGCCTGGTCGCTTAGTTGAAGAGGGCGCCCCAGCTGCCAGGCGGGCAAACGGAAATCCTTCCCTTGCCTTCTGTGTTTGGTCAGGTGGCTGTTTATCACTGACTCTGCTTTGGCAGGTCTGTGGATCACGTAACTGAATCTTAGCCATAATTCCGTGACATAGGGTGAAAAGTCCAAGGGTGCTCACTGTGACATTTAGGCTACGAAAAGATAGCTTTAAAACACTTCTTGGATAATAATCATATATATATATATATATATATATATATATATATATATATATAGTATGAATAACCACATATATAATGTAACCATATATATATATATATATATATATATTTACATAAAAAATAACTCCCCCAAGATACACATTTAATAAGGAAAAAATAAGCTCCTTTTTGGAAGACTTTCCTCTCTGGAAGATTTTCTGACAGCCAGGAGTGGTCCATCAAGAGTCATATAACGACCCCCCTCCCCTCCCCCGTGCTGTTCACCTGGCCATGCTATGGGCTGGAGGTAAGTAGGCCTCTGGGACTCCACCTAGAGCCAGGGGGTGCAACTGCTGTCCCCCAAGTTGCTGGAGATCACCTCCTCTCTACACAGCCTCCATTTCTGGGCTTACTGGTGCCAAGGGCTGTGGCTGTGGCATCTGCTATCTGAGAAATGCAGAAGGTATGAAGGATGCCACAGAAAGGCATGCTTCGGAGGAGCTGTTTCATTGAAGAGCAGCTTCCCTCTAGTTTCTGGGTAACCCAGTTCATGGCTCAGAAGCTCAGGTTTTTAAGGTAAAATCAGTATCAAACATGAGCATGAAGATTCTTGTATATTAGCATATGCTAAAAAGTCTTAATATTTTTTCTTTTTTTTCGTTATTTTTTTTGAGACAGGGTCTCTCTACATCGGTGGCTCTCAACCTTCCTGATGCTGTCACCCTTTAATATAGTTCCTCATATTGTGGTGACGCCCCAACTATAAAATTATTTTCATTGCTACTTCATAGCTAATTTTGCTACTGTTATGAACTGTAATATAAATGTTTGTGTTTTCCAGTGGTCTTAGGTGAATCCCAATCGGGTAGTGACCCCCCAGGTTGAGAACCATTGTTCTACAGAGCCTAGATGTCCTAGAACTATGTAGACCAGGCTAGCCTCACAGAGATAGACCAGGCTAGAATTCATAGAGTTCCACCTGCCTCTGCCTCCTGAGTGCTGAGATTAAAGACATGTGCCATCAGCCTGGCCTAAAACTTATTTTATGTGCTTTGCCTGCCATTATTTTGGTGCACCACATGTGTGAGTTAAAGTTGTGAGCTGCCATGTGGATTCTGGGAATCAAACTGGGTCCTCTGGAAGAGCAGTAAGTGCTCTTAACTGCTAAGCCATTAACATTTTCTAAAGAGATTTAAAAATAAGTATTTTCCGTCTCCTATGCTAACAAAACAAGGAGGGGTTTCTCTTCTGAGCTCTTCTTCTTCACATAGTCCTGTTCAGTGACTGGTGCTGTTTGGTATAAAATATTGGTCTACACAACATTTCAAGTATATTTACTCTTTATTGCATTCCTTCAATTTGCATTACACAATATAATATTTATCTTTTTCAATATAATTTTGGACAAAAACACAAGACACTAACTTCACTGAACAAGAAACATAAGTTACTCCATGGAGGACTTTGGGAGGAGAAAGGCAGGACCGCAGACAACAGGGACCATGGTGACAGACAGGAGCCACGCACGGTACTGGCCACAGGAATCACAGCTTCACGACACAGTCCACTCTTTCAAAGCCACGAAATAAGCCAGGGATGAAAACGCAAAACAAAGTATACAGATAGCAAGATCAGGAGACGGGGTGCGCCCAGCCGCCCTGCCGCAGCAAGCCTCTGAGGGCTGCCTTCACGTTTTAAGCAGCAGCGGGGAGAGTGGCGCGCTCCCTAAGACTCGTCTCCATGAATGACGACCTAATTAAATTCCTTCTAACCCACTGATTAGACAAACCACCCTCCAAAAGGCGGGGTGAGGTCCTCCTCTTTTGGAAGAAGTGTGCTGAGGACCCTGGAATGGATAGTCAAGGTCTGAGGGAGAGGGTTGGGAGGTGGCTTGTTTTGCTAGTTCATAGTGTTTTATTTATGTGCTTCAGACGTTACTGATCACTTGAGATATGGGGAGGATAAATTATTATAAGTCATTAGGCTGAGGAAAAAGGAGAGTATGGCACTAATGAGCCTCTGACGTCATCCTAAGGAGCTGACCCACTTAGAGTTGGACACTAATTAGCGCTGAGAGGCTTGTAAATTATTTTAGTATTTTTTTTTTTTCTGTTTAGGGATGCACAGCTTTCCGTATGTGTCTTTCAGAAGGTTTTAACAGCATCTACCAAGTGATGCTGTTAAATGATTAGCCTATCTCCTACCACAGAGCAAATGAATTACGCTCAGGGCCTGTCACAGCCACCCCAGGAATGATCTGATTTCTGATTAGAAAAGCTCTCCTGATTGCAATTTGGAAATATCTCTGAAAACGATTGAGACCAGCATCTCAGATAGTCAAAGCCTGCTTCTTGAGGCAAAGATAGTGACCTACTCTGCGAGGGAACCGTTTCACCAGATCCGCAGCGCTGAGTGAAACCCTCGGAGCCTCTACCTTTGCTCTTGGTCACAGGAAGCCTACCTTCTGGTAGGCCAAGTGTTTCCAGGGTGGGCGTGGCAGGAAGCGCAGCATGCGCAAAGTGCACAAGTGCAGCCTGCCTTCCCCGTAGGCAGGGATCACCTTAGCGAGCACGGGCGGGAAGCACAGCAGTCCAGGAAACACTAGGCCGTCTCAAAAAGCACGAGGGAGTTTGCCGCACTAATCATGCAGGGCGAGGGCACTGAGGGTGGAGAACGCTTCACTGAGTCCGGTGTCTTGGGTATGGTGAGTGACGATCCCAGGCCAGCTTCACCTTGGTCACCTCCCCTGGTCACTGTTGTAAGCACTCTGTCCTTCAGTCAAAGTCCAGGGGACTACTGCAAAAGAAATCCCAAAGCACACACAAAATTATGAGCTCTGCAAACAAGCAAGCAAACAAAAGTCATTCACCAAGAAATCGCTAAAAGCTTCGTGTGTCTTCTGCACTGTCCACCGTCTACTTGCTGTTTAACAGGCACGTTCTAAAAGTAAATATTCACAGCTCCATGAACGTAAAAGCAGGAGCTAGTGAGCATGTCCCACTGAGTTTTCCCTGCGCGGTGACAAGGAAGCTTTGTGAAGCTTCCTGGAGCGCAGACCGACAGAATAGCCTGCGTCCTTTCGTGGCCCCTCAGGCCTACAGCACAGGAAGAGGCTAATCCACGGGAAGGAGGTTATGCCGGAAAGAAGCCATCAGACGCACACACTGCACTGTGTCGATGCTCAGGGGGAACCCTGGGACCCTGCAGATGGGGACCCACATCGGGTACTCCTGGGCACTGGGCGTACTTACGTTCCTTCTTCTCTCAGGAGGGCCAAGAATTTCCTCACACGGTACTCGGGGTCCATCTAAAATCATCAGAAGAGACAAGGAAGACATGTCAATGGCATTTCTCCCCCAAGATGCATTTCTCTCACGCTAGGGAGACGCTTGTTCCTATGCTCCCAGTGGCTTCCGGAAACCTGTCACCGCAACCTGGCCGCTTTTGTTTTTGAGGCATAACAAAGCAGATTATGTCATGTAGAAGCCAGTGGGACTTCCCGACATGCAGAGAAGCCACTGGTCATTCCCAGCTCTCCCTTGGCTGAGTTGGTGTGAGGAGGAAAACAACACCAGCAAGGTGTCACCACAACACTAGACTGTGGTTGCTCACAGGCTGAGGGTGAGTTCCAGACCTGCCTGGATGCATTCAGAGTGCAAATGATATCTAATTCAAACATCTTCTTGAAGGGGTAAGGGAGAACTTGAAGAAACCGAATTGAGGCTGATTAAGGGACCAAAATACTGACTTTCACATATTCAGGGACCTGGCTCTCTTAGTTATAGTGCCCCTTTGGGACTGGCAGAGACACTGGCACACCTAAGAGGGCAGAAAGTGCTTTTGGGCTCTGCTCTCAGGACACCTGGCTTCTGGCTATCACTGTGTCACAGACCCCTGACAACATGGTGGGGGTTTTGACCCAGGTGCTCAGTTCAAGTCATTATTACTATTCGCCTCTCCTAGCTGTCATTTTGTATCCAGATTACCTTACACAGTTGAAGTGTATTGAGCTCTTATTGGCCTAACCGAGATGTGTGGTGATCTGGGAAAAGATCATTACAAACCAACATCTTTAATTCCTTAGTATGAATTTTTTTCTAATTGTAAGAAACACCTCACTTTTAAAGCATGTTGCAGGGCAGAAGTCTGTTCCCAGGAGGGAAACTCCCTGCCCTCCAGGGGCAGCTTGCAAATGCTTTGCTGTGCACCGCTGTGGGTAAGGGTGCAATCAAATTCCCCTCCAACCACTCTGTAAAAACGGTTCTTCTCCTTCTGTCCCAGCAAAACATGGAACAGAAATTTCGAATGTATCAAAGTTAAGGAGTCAGGCTACAAAGAACTAAGAAGAAGTGTGAACAGCTAACAAAAGCCATTTTCCCCCCCTCTTTGGGACTAGAATTACACATGAATCAATTGTCAAAGCTCCTTCTGAAAGATGGAACTGGCTGGAGCTCGCTGCAGTCGGCACATGCAGGCCTTCGCCCATTAACTCTATTTAATATGTGTGAGGAGCAGCTTACTGACTTGCCTGTAGCTATGGAATTAAAAGGCAAGAGAAAGGGAGGAAAAAAGTAATCTAGATAAATGACTTTATTCCCTCAGGTGACATCCAGTCAGAGCAGATCCTCAATGCCGAGCAAGTTTTAACAGACTCGGGTACGGCGCACAGAGCGAGCATGGCTTCCAGTCTGCCGAGCCGCATGCCTCTCCATTCGGGCTCGGCTCCTCAGGCGGATCTAAAGAGAAGTCACTCAGCTGCACAGAATCCATCTGACGTGAGGGGGTTCAGACTCCAGGCCTATGAAGTGTCAGTCGTGGAAGATTAGGCCGAGCCCGAGTGCCCCACTCTCACTTTCTACCCCACACACATAAGAGGCATTAAACTTGATCACTGCGCTGCAGGCATCAAAGGGAGAGGAGGCGGGGGTGGGAAGGAAACCTCGAATAGTTTCTTCTATGCAATTATGTTAAAAGATTGTACTGAAACTGAGGAAAGAAGGGCAGAGCTGACTTTCTGACAGATTTATCTTTTTTCAGGGACAGAGCCAATACACCTGTATGTGCGGCTTTCCCCGGACTAAGCCTGAGCAGGGCACTCAGTCTACGCCTCTGATTTACTGCTTATAATGGAAAATACATAAATCGACTTGAAAACAGTTGTTGGAAGCTCGGGAAACTTTTGGCTTCTGGGGAAAGAAGACCACAAAAATTTCATTTTAAATTAAGTTTATCAGAGGGAATGAAAACAATTCTCTCCATATTTCTTAGCTGTTGGCCTAAGAGCTTCCTTCAGATGTGAACGTGAGGCCGAGGCAGCTGGCTGCTCACAATGGAAGGGCAGGGCTGCTCGGGGACGCTTAGAATAACAGCTCTCTATCTGCTCCAGTCTGGGGATGGACTGCTCTTCATTCCCTCATTGAGCCATTCATTTGCTCAAGGAAAACTCGCTCAGCATGTGCTGAGCTGGCCCAGGGCCGGTGCCCGAACGAACACAGGTATTATGTACATGTGAGGGAGTTCCAGGTTAGTCTCATCTGCCTGGGCCCAGCTGCCAACAGGCGGGGACTCAGCTGTCTACGGGGTCCTGTATGCTTCAACCTGCCAGCGGTCCACATGAGATTTCTAGGGAGCCGACCATGGTGGTGCACACCTTTGATTCCAGCATGTGGGAGGCAGAGGCAGGAGGACCTTTGAGTTCAAGGTCAGCCTGCTCTACAAAGGGAGCTCCAGGACAGCCGGGGTCACACACAGAAACCCTGTCTCAAAAAAACAAATAAATGAATGAATAGAAATTGAATAAATAAATGAATGAATAAATAAATAGAAGTTTCTGGAAGTTTGGTGAGGGAAAAACACAGAGTCCATGTCTAACGTGTCCAAGTCAATGTACCCACCTTCGCATGTCCCCAGCAATCCTGACCTATCTGTGCAGTCACTTACTGACCCCAATGGTCAGTGCCTCAGTAGAGTGTGCGATCTGGGCTAATTCACTGACAACCTGTGGGCATGGCATCCATGTGTTTAAAATTGCTCTTGCAAGTCCTTTCTAATTTTGGACCTAATAACTCGCTACACTGAGATGGAAAGTCATGCCACGCTCTTCTCATTTATTTCTGAACATTAAGAAGGAAAGCCCTATAATCCTGGCATTTGGGAGCCAGAGGCAGGCAGATCTCTGAGTTCAAGGCTAGCCTGGTCTCCAGTGTCCAGGACAGCCAAGGTTGCACAGAGAAGCGCTTTCTGGATGGAGAGCACCAGCGCTGCCAAGCCTTGGGAGAGAAGCACAGGCCCCCCTTGGCGCGCCACCCCCGTTCCTGTGACTCACCAGGGAGGGAATCGCCTTACCTGCAGGGACATCTCAATCAGCATTAGTAACTTCTTGATTCCTATCCAGACTTTCTTCCCTTTGACTTGCTGAGCAATTGTGGTGCGTTCCTTATCTTTAAAGTTGCCCAAAAGCTACAAAAGTGATAAACAACAATAATGACACTTTTACCATCCGCACATCAACACATCTGCCCTTACGTGAACTGTGGGAGGCACTACCTGACTGGCATGAATGGACCCACCTAGTCATGTATGGACACATAAGGCAAGGTCTTATTCTGTGGCCCAGACTAGCCTCAAACTCATGGTAATCCTCCTGCCTCAGCCTCCCTGGTGCTGAGATTACTTTGTTTGGAAGAAATTTATCTTCAGCTGTTTTCCTTGGTACCTCCACTAAACTGCTGGGGGGGGGGGGGCAGGGAAACAGCTCCAATCTTTGTTAAATATAAATGTGTTAGCATTCCTTCCTAGAAACAATTTGTATGTGTCAAAGTTCACTAACTTTTTTCTTCTCTTACCCATCCCAGCTACAACAGGATGTTCAAACAGGTGACCCAGAAATGCCCCTTATGCTGACAGCTCTGTTCTGCTGGGAGCACACAGCAACTCCTCAGTTGCGAGGCCTTTAAGCTGCCTCCCTGACCTGACCACACCGAACACCTTACATCACATTTTCCAACAGGTCTCATCTCGTCATTTGTGCACATTAACATTAATCAAAATTCGCTGCAAGATTCATTTTTTTAAATTAAAGGCTTTATCATCTTCATAAAATTAAGGAAGCGTTTCTATGCTGTAAAGTTGTGAAGTTTGGGTAGCTTTTGTGGAGTTTCAAAGGCCTTACTCACTGTTCTGGTTTATTAGATGTAAAGAAATGCGCAGCCAGCCACTGTGAAGGAGCAGTGGTCACTCCCCATGCCGCGCCCAGCCTGACCCCCTGCCATGTAGGCTAGAAGTATCACATGCATGCTGGGAGGATGAGCGAGCCCTGCAGTCTGTGTGCTACCCACACCAGGAATGAGAAGTCTATCGCTCTCCTTTGCGCCTCTCTTCTCCCTCTCGCTCCTGAAAAGCACTGGAGAAAACATCCCAGGTCCCACATTCTGCTCCAGCTGGGAACCCTTCCACATTCTCTCAGGCCTCAACTCCTTTCTGATAAGCAGTTTCTAGCAGGGGCTCATCTTTACCTCCAGAGCTTCCAGCAGCTGCTCCCCAGTGGCAATGTTGGGCACATGGATGGTGGTGCTGAAGGCATTAAGCATCTCCATTTCCTGCAGGACATCTTTGCGGCTGGTGGTCCCGATGATGAGAAGCTTGCGGCCCTGCTTATCGAGACAGACGTGTTACAGCGCACAAAAACAAAAAAAACAAAACAAAAAAGCAGTAACAAGGAGACCAGAGGAACGACCACTTATTTGTGTATATGAATGAGGAGGCAAAACACACAAAACCCAGGATTTTCCAAATAAAACTCTGAACAAGACATAGATGATGCAACTCGGAAGCAGCAACAATGAAGCAGGCCCTTCCTACCGATGCTAGCTGACAAAGGAACACCAAACCAAAGCCAGAGACACCCAAGTGTGCACGACAGTTCCGTCCTGGTGATGGGAAATAGGGTTTTTCTTTAGACAGGTTTTTCTTTAGCTGTGGCTGGCTGGTCTGAAATTTACTGTATAGACTAGCTGGCCTCCATCCAATTCAGAAATCTGCTTGCCTCTGTCAGATTGGTTTTCACTGCGAGCTCCAAGCTAGCCAGGGCTGCACAGTGAGACCAGGTCTCTGAGACAAAACGATCCCCCACTCAAACTTCAACTTGGGCTTTGTACACATTTTACCACTAACTGTCAACAAAGCAAGGTAGCTTTTGTCAATCTCATTCATTGTTTTTATCCTTTATGTGCCATGAATAACAATGTATCACCACAAAGTAGACGCAGGGCTGCAGCTTACCTAGCAAGCACAGAGACAGGTTCAAGGTCTAGCATATGCGCGCACACGCGCGCACACACACACACACACACACACACACACACACACACACACACTACACACACACGAGCAGAAACCTCTGACACTATTAGCTCCTTGGTTTAACAGATGAATGTGCAAAGACTCCAAGGTACAAGTTTATTTGTGATATGTATAGAATTAAAGGTGAATCATTACTGCTATTCAATAAATCAACTAGAAAAAAACATATTAATCAAAAAAATCAAATGCTTATCATCAGACATTTGCCACGTTCCTGAATGACTATGGAATGACCTTGTATAGAGAGGTAGAAAGATAAGAAACAACAACAAACCCTCAGACTAATGCCACATGGAAAGGAGGCAGATTGTATCCAGGGAAGGAACCTGGCAGAGGAAGCAGGGAGGAGTCCACAGGCCAGTTTTTTGAGTTGTTTTGGTTTGTTTTTTTCAAGGCAGGATTTCTCTGTGTAGCCTTGGCTGTCCTAGGCTCTGTAGACCAGACTGGCCTCAAACTCACAGAGATCCACCTGCCTCTGCCTCCCTAAAGGCGTGCCACCACTGCCTAGCCTCCAGGCCAAGTCTTAAGGAACTGGTAGGCTGGTTTGGAAGATGAAGAGGGCTCTAAGTCAGAGGGAATGGAAGTTTAAAAGCAAAAATAACAAAGCTGGGTGAATCCTCATCTCTCTCTTCTCACAAAGGGAAATATTGGCCTCTCTAGGGCATCTCTGCAGAAGCGTCTTCTTGCTCGCTACAGAAAGCTGGACTTTTTTCCCCATCTACCACTATCTTCCTCAAAGAACTTTCTTCTACAGTGACTCTGATGTCTTCAGAGTGTTGAAAGATTGGGAAGTGTGGGCTAACCTATAATGGAGACGCTAATTTATGTTTTGCCTGTCTTCTTGTTTAACAAGACTGCAAACACGGTGGAGAGGTCATGACCCAGGCAAGCTCAGGCCTTGACTTGTAAAGCACCATCTTTGGGAAAACACTGAAAAACATTACTAAATAATTAAATTGTGCTGGATCGTTTTGTGTATTAATTAGTGGTATGTAAAAGTGTTCTCATGGAAAAAGAGTTGCAGGTGTACTAAAGGAACCACACTGGGTCATATTTGAAGGGTAGGGACTGGCAGCAGCATGAGGGAGGAGTGCAGCTTTAGAGGAGGCCAGTTCAACCCAAAGGGGAAGTCTATCTTGCTAATGTGTGGCTACCAGTTTAAAGTCCACAGTGCCCAAACATGCCCCAGGGATGGAAGGAAGGAAGGAAGGAAGGAGGGAAGGAAGGAAGGAAGGAAGGAAGGAAGGAAGGAAGGAAGGAAGGAAGGGAGAGAGGGAGAGAAGGAAAAGGAAAGAAAGAAAGAAAGAAAGAAAGAAAGAAAGAAAGAAAGAAAGAAAGAAAGAAAAAAAGCAGCAGCAATAACCTATCTGGGGGGCAGTCAATCCCAGCATATTCTACTGAGATTTGCTGGTCCTGATGCGACACAGAAAAGGCCTAAATAAAATGACTATCTGCCAATCGGATTACGATGAACATTGTTCCAAGGTTAAATAAGTATTAGTTAACCAAGTCTTAGTGCTATAAGAAGCAACTCAGGTGAAAACATTACCATGAAAAAGGCAGGGCTCCGTCAGGTGCTGATCCTTCAAAAACCCACTGCTTTACAGGATGAAGAATGGACCAAGCACCAAGCAGCATCTAAGCCTTTTGCCACACAAAAGGCTAACCAGATAATCCACACCCTTTCAGAGTTCTGCCATTGATTGGCCCCAATCAACTGATTTGTAACAAAAGTTCATGTGGAATAAAGCTTTTTTTTTCTTTTCCTAAATAAAAAAATGCCACCAATATAATAACTGCAGTGAAATGGAAGGACTGGCCTCAACCCCCCAACAAAAGTGAAGTCAGTTATGCGGGAAAGAAAGGCCCAGTTCTTTCTTATCATTCAAAGCAGCAAATGTAACACACTCTTGCTAAGAAGAATTAACCCGGAACAATCGGAAACCCTGGGATGGATTAAGAAGTGAGTTTAAAAGCAAGGTTCAAAACTGCCATGTGCGATGGGCCTTACACTCTATTTTCTAATGACTACAATCTGATGTTTATGTAAAAGAGTGAAAAAAAATGTCAGAATACTAGGAACTTGTAAACCCAGTGAGCAAAAGGTGAAATTAACATTTGCTAATTGGAACATCAACAAGAAGTTATCTTTTAGGCATGCGAATGGTGAAATTTAGTTTGCACCTTCCAAGTGATTTTAATTTAGCTGGGAAACTGGCTGGGCAGCACTCGGGAGCCACTACCGAGTCATGTACCAGCAAACACGGAGGGGCAATGGCTGCAGGGGCCTGGAGGCGCATGGAGCCTCTCAGAGTGGGAGAACCTGGAGCAGCAGCAGAGCTGCAGGGCCAGAGCCAGGAGGCACTGGCAAGGCCCCTCCAGGAGCAGGACAGGTACAAATGCTACTAAACCTCACGCGGTTGGTGGAAACAGCGATGCCACAGCACCAGGTCTCTCTGGAGAGAATGAGGGCAACCAACGAAGGCACGACTCAAGATGCTAAAGGGGATTTAACATAAAAAGCACCGGGAGAAGCCAAAGGCAGGTCTGAAGGAGAAAGCACCACGGAGGAGGGGAAGGATTCTGGCAGGATGTCCTCCTCCTGTGGCCTTGGACAAAGCAGCCACAGCAAGGCCATGCCAGTTCTGAGGAAAACTCCCCAACAAGGGTCCTGCACCGTTTACCCACAGCCTACCCATAGTGGGGTACTTTTGATGCCAGCCTGGGTAAGAGCAGGAGTGGGGACAGCAACAGAGTTTTCCTGAAGGCTGGGTAGCTTGTGCAGCAGGAAAGGGACAGGCACCATTATTCGCAGCTGTGTGACAGACATGGGGTAGATTACCTCAGCACCGGACTCCTCTTCAATCATAAAAAAACGGGATTAGAAAAATCCTATGTGTGTGATAGAGCATAAGGTAAAGAATGCTACGGAGGGTACTCCCTAACATCACATCACGGTCACGACAGACGAGGAGAGGAAGCAAGGGTTCCAAGGGGAGTCTGGAAAGGCGGGGTTCATCTTAGGTCAGGCAGGTGAGCAGTAGGATTGGAGGTTCTCTTCCTAACACCTGGGACCCCAGCAGTGACATGGGGCAAGCATGCTTCCAGGCACCAGACTTGCCCTGCACAGGGATGACAGGGGCCCAACATTCGGCCTACCTGGAATGCCAATGAGGCTCAGGCAACACAGCCTTTTGGGAGGTGTCACTGCAGTGGGGTTTGAGGGGCCTCTGTGAGAGGCCACCAGGGAAGCTTCTCCTGACAGAGTCCTTCTGCTTTTTGCTTTTCCAGTTTCCTTCTTGGGAAGGAAACAGTTCTTCTTTTTTGCTATCTGCTACTGAGACCATAGGAACAATTCTGCCTGACTGCTGCTTCCCTCCCTCTACGCACTTACGGATCTACTTTTCAGCCTCTCAGCTCTGTACACACCTCATTCGCCCAGGCTCAGCAGCATTTGGGCCCAGCTGCCTGGCACACGCAGGTGCACTCATGGTCCCTTTCCCCAGACACTTCCTGTCCCTATCAGCATGGCTCTTCCCCTCCGTCAAGGGCTTGCTTGAATGTCAGCTTTCCTATAGCTTGCTCAGGCCCATGCCACTGAGCTTCCTCTCCCCCATTCTCTTTTGTCCCTCAATCAAATCACTATATACCATCTCTGTGACTCGGTCCCTGTATTTGCTCATCATTGCATGTCTCACGAGTCTTTTGTGAGGCAGGGGTGAGGTTTGTTTGGTTTTACTGAACTGCCCAGGGCTAACATGGGGCCTCATGCAGGGGCAGTTAATAAATATATGGTGAATGAATGAGTGATGGTCCCGGTTCAGGCTTCAAGGGTAGTACATGACGCTATTGTTATGACCTCTCCTCTGGCCCTAGAAAAATGTACATTACACCCAATGTTTAACAGGAAATTACAATTTCAGAGCCACAGCCCAGAGCCCTAAGTGTTGAATGCTATGATATACTACATTTTAATGGAAATACTCTAGGATGGGTAACACTTGTTTACATATTTAAGTTGATGCCAAAGGCTGCTGTACCTTTCTTTTAGATGATTGCCCCTCACCTACTGACTGCTTACTACAGGCTTCTCTAGTAAAGGAAGGGGGTTTATGGGACGCTGGGAACCCAAGTCAGTGAGATGAGAAGTCTTACTGTCTCCAGCAACTCTTGGTAGTTAGTAAAAATACTAACTACCACTAAAAGCAGCCAGCAGGTTTGAGAGTGCAGCTCAGCAATAGACAGCTGGCCCACAGACGGGAAAACCAGTTTCAGGCCCCAGAACTGC